GTGCTGCTATAAAAAGCCTCACCTAAGAAGGCAGGACGTCACAGTGTCACTGCAGCTGTGCTTGTCCATCAAAGGTCCCGGCCTATGTCCAGCCAAAGAAGACACTCGGATGCCGCTGTGCCAGTGGAAGGCCACACTTCTCTTTGCTGCCCTCATAACAGTGAGAGTGCAGTGGGCATTAAAATCATACCAGTGGGCTGGGAACGCAGCTCAGAACAGTGCTTGCCTAAAGAGCCCGGAGCTGAACCCACAGTACCAAAACACTGTAATCCCAGCGCTGGGGGAAGTAGAGCCTGGAGAATCAGAAGTCCAAGGTCATCCTCAGCTGCAGCATGTTCAAGGCCAGCCTACCCGACAAAACACAAGAGGTGCTAGTGTAACACAGCTGCTGAAGGTGTGGGCAGGGGCAGGAGACAGAACCAGCTCCAGGTTGCACACTCTGCCTCAGCTGCAACAGCCTGGTGGTTCAGGGAGTCCCGGGGGAACTCCACCTTCCTTTCTAGGAGTTACTCCTGAGTTAAAAACTCCAGGAGAGGCACACAATAAAGCAGATCCTGCCAGGCAGAGATTACCTTGTGGAGTTGGTACTAAGAACATCATTGCTTTTACTATATTTGTTACCAACAAGTAGAAATGGCAAGTTTGTGGATAGATTGCTGTAACTATGACCTGCATGCCCACAACCCTGTAATCCTAGTCCTGAGCAAATAACCAAGAAAAACATGGATGTATCCCAAAAGGTTCCCGGCAGCACTACTCTCCCAAACCCCAAAACAGCTAAACCAACTACGCATAGTTATCATGGTGTTGGATGACAGCAACATCAGGTCCATGCCTCAGAACACACTTGTCCACAACGTTCTGCACAAGAACCCAAACTAAAGTAAAACTGCCTGATGCCACTGTGGAGACATCAGAGTGGAGTGAGTGGGTGAGAACACAGCGAGAAACATGGTGCTGACGGGCTAGCAACCCAGTCCTGAGATCAGGGGTTTCGGGGGTGTGTGTGTGTGTGCGTGTGTGCGCGCGTGTGCGCGTGCACGCGTGTGTGTGTGTGGTGTGTGTGTGTGTCTAGAGAAGGCAATGAACTCTGCAACTAGCATCTGTATATTTCAAAGTATGCTTAACAAAAAATGTCAAAAGACAATTTTCACAACAGACAATTCCACTGACAAAAGCACAATCCTAACATGTATCAGATAAAAAACAATCAAAATATTTCTTCTCATATCTATGGTCCCAGAACGAGAAGGAGGACTTGAGTTAGAAGCTAGCCTGGTCTTCACAGCGACACCCTGTGTGGCAGTTTGAATGAGAATATCCCCCATAGGCTCATACATTTGAATACTTGGTCCCCAGTGGGTGGAACTGTTTGGGAAGGATTAATGGGTGTGGCTTTGCAGGAGGAGAGGATAGGCATTGAGGTTTCCAAAGCCCACAGTCTCTCTCTCCCCCTCTGCCTACTGCCTGCAAATCATGATGTAAAGCTCTTAGCCACTGTTCCAGCACCATGCCTATCTGCTTCCTGTCATGATGATCACAGACTAACCTTCCAAAACTATAAGCAAGCCCCAATTAAATGCTTTTTTTTTAAGAGTTGCCTTGGTCACAGTGTCTTTTCACAGCAATGTGTAACAGTAACTAAAACACGCTGTGTTTGTTTTTTTTTTAAAAAAAGCTCCTCGATGCATTATGTACTTTGACCAGCAAGCATGCTGGAACATAGAGCAATTTTATTCGGATCATGTATAAACTTTGTCTAAATAGAGAAAACTGAACAATTGGAAAAACATCCTACACTACCCACCATGTTTAGTATCTAATTCTGGTTGCCATCGTTAAACAAACCATCACAAAACCATGAACTGCAGTAGAGGACAGAACACCTGCTCAGTTGCTCATGTGACTCCGTGAGCTGTGAGGCTCATACTCACTGCCACAGGCACCTGAGGCTTTTAGATAAATATTATCGTCATTTGTTAGACTGAAGATACAGCATGAGTTTACTGTCCCTTCAAAGCCAAGCTACCCTCTGTCTGCTCAGCTCCCAGGACAGGGTGAAACGGTCGTGGAAGGGTTGTTAGGAACAGTGAAGACACTGTCTCTGACCACCGGACGGCAAGCACCAAGCTCAGGCTTCAGTTACAGCACTCAGGAGGTGGAAGGGGGTGGGGGGTGGGAGACCAAGAGCTCAAGGCCAGGGATGGGGCATCGGCTCAGTCAGTAAAGACAGCATTGGCCTTGCAAGTGCGAGGACATATGCCTGTGATCCCAGAGAAGGTGAGAAGAGAGAAGAAACAGACAGATCTCTGCAAGGTCAAGGGTCAGCTAGCTTGGCTTACTTGACAAAGTTCCAGGTCAACAAGATCCTATCCTCAGTCTCAAATAAAACGTGGAGGTGCCTGAGGGTCAACATCTGGGGCTGTCCTCTGATCTCCACATTCAGGCTGAGCATACAGACATCTGCAGGGTCTCTCTCTCTCTCTCTCTCTCTCTCTCTCTCTCTCTCTCTCTCTCTCTCACAAAACACAGACACACACACACACAGACACACAGACAGACACACACACACACACACACACACACACACACACACACACACACACACACACACACACGGCAGTGGGGGGGAGCGTCTGAGTGCACAGTAACACCCTGATGGCTAAGAGCAGAGTCCGAGACTGGAGAGAGGGCTCAGCCAGCGGTTAAGAGCAACTGGCTGTTCTTCCAGAGGTCCTAAGTTCAATTCCCAGCAACCACATGGTGGCTCACAACCACCTATAGTAAGATCTCGTGCCCTCTTCTGGTGTGCAAACATAGATGCAGACAGAACACTGTGCACATAATAATTTTTTTTTTTCAAAGAGCTAAGTCTGCTCTTCCAGAAGACCCAAGTTCAATGCCTAGCAACCATGCCAGGTGGCTCAACCTCCTGTAACTCCAGTTACCTAAGCACATGACTTACTGCCTCTTTACTATACAGATTTCACCGACTGGAGAGTTGGCTGCTGCTCAAGAGACCTTAACAGTACCTAATGAGGTGCTTCTGAAGGGCAGAGGAGCCCAGGGACAGGACACAGGTGAGGTTTTTGCCAACTCTATATGAAGCATAAGACTCTGCTATGCCCCAGATCTTCTCCCTGGGTAGATCCCTTCCATTTTAGGACACTTATATTCTGTTTGGGGGTGCTTTATGTGAGGCCTAAAAGAGTCTTGTGTATGGGACTTAGGGTCCATCTTAGTCAGAGTTTCTATTGTGTGATAAACACCACGACTCAAAGCAAGTTGGGAATGAAAGGGTTTATCTGGCTTATACTTCCACATTGTAGTCCATCACTGCAGGAAGTCAGGACAGGAACCTGGGGGCAGGAGCTGATGCAGAGGCCATGGAGAAGTGTTGCTTACTGGCTTGCTCATCCTCCTTTCTTATGGAAGCCATGACCACCAGCCCAAGGGTGTTCCTACTTACCATGGGCTGGGCCCTCCCCCATCAATCACTAATTAAGAAAATGCCCTACAGGCTCGCCCACAGCTGAATCCTATGGAGGCATTTTCTCAACTGAGGCTCCTCCTCTCCAGTAACTCTAGCTCGTGTCAAGTTGACATAAAACTAGCCAGAACAGGGTCCAGCACTAGCTACACAGCTGAGACTGTCTCAACCTCCACAGATTCTTAAACCTCCATCAGATGTGGACCTCCTTCCCTGGGCTGCTGATTTAGCAGGTCTGAGAGGACCCGGAAACTTACACATCACCAAGACCTCTAAGGCAGCCAACTCAAACTTCACCTGGTGAAGTCAAAACTCAGGAATCCAAATTCAATCCCCAGAATCTATCAGTTGGGTAATCCTGGGCAAATAGCAGAAAACACTGCCTTTGAGTCCCTTCATTTGTAAAAGGAGTTAGTATCTACCTCGTTTTATGGCCATTTTAGAATCAAGGCAGAGCACAAGATAAGACACTGGTTTAAAGGGGAATGGACTTGAAACTCAAAACTCAGAAGCTATTAGTGTCATTTAAATAAAGCTGTCCATTGCATAAAATTACCCAATTTAAAAAATATGTGTATATGTGTGTGTGTGTGTGGGGGGGGTGTACTCATGTGTGCAAGTGCCCCTGGAAGCCAGAGACAGTAGATCTCCTGAAACTGGAGTTTCAGGGGGTTGAGAGCCACCTGAACGGGGACTAGGAACCCAACTCTTGAAGAGTAAGCTGAGCTCTTAACTAATGAGTCATCTCTCCAGCTCTATCCCATTATTTCTCTAAACAACCGTCACTCACAGAAAAATATTCCCTACTGGAATGCTACGGAAATTTTAACCTGGTTTGAATGAAGCCATTAAACCTTCTCTTCTGGACTGGGAGCCATGGATCCCTGTGTGTGTGTGTGGGGGGGGGGGGGTCTTGATTTGATTCTCCCGACTTGGTAAAGGATGCTGGAGTAAAAACTTCCAGATTCTCCGAGGGACCCATGCCCTCCAAAGGCTAAGAACCTCCTAAAGATATTAACCAAAAGATTCTTCTTGGTCGGAGTCCTTTCTTGTCTTCTAATTTAAGTTTTGCTTTTTGGTTTTGTTGTTTTGTTTTGTTTTAGTACCACGTTAAGTTAGGAAAGTCAAATAATACAGAGAAAAGTGAACAGTAATTCCGTCCTATGCTTTTTCTGGACCTTCCTCCAAAGTCAACCTTTCTTACAATTTTAAGGATGTTTCTAGTGCAGGATGTCTCAAACTCACACGTAGTCACTTTATGAAAGGGATCTCTCTTGGGGACTCTGGTCTAAGTAAGCATTGGTGTTCGGGAACAATCCTCTACCCCCTTGCAAGCCCCAGAGCACGCACACACCTACTGTCAACACCCCCAAAATGTTTGCAGGCCCAACTCCCAGCGGAGAACCAATGCTTCCCGGGACGCCCTGGGTGTGCAGCGTCCCGGCTGTGACCGCGTCCGCACCTCCGTGGGGTGAGCCACAGGGAAAGTCCTCTTGCCCGGGCCACTCACCAAGTCGCGGATGAGCTGGTCCACCAGCGGCTCGGGCTCCACGGCGTCGCGGTCCGGGGGTGAGCGCGAGCGGCTGGTCGCATCCCTCCTGTCGGACCGGCCGGGCCTGGGGGCCGGGGGTCGGCCCGCGCCCTCCAGCAGACCCTGCGCCAGGGCCAGGTACCCCGAGGCCTGCTCACCGCGCGCCCCCGCCTCGGGCCTCCGCGGCCGCCGCTCCCCGGCCTCGGGCCGCCGCCGCCGCCTCAGCGCCTGCGACTGCGCCAGTTCCTCCTGCCAGCGCCGGCGGAACTCCTCCAGGCTGTGGTCGTCCATGCTCGACGCTCCCGGGCCTACGCGTCACCCAGGGGCCGCCAGCTGTTGACGGACCGTCCAGCCGCAGGAAGTGTCCGCCGTTGGCCGGAAACTTCCGGGAGCGCGGCTCTTAGGTTCCGGGAGGCCACGCCCCTCCACTCTGGCACGCCTGGTTTTTACAACCTTAGCACCAAAGAGCTTTCCCTTCGCCAAGCAAACCCACTTTAAATGGCTGCTACATACATACTGCAAAGGTAGCATTTATTTTTTATGTAGTGGGTTTTTTTTTATTGTATTTATGTATGTACTTATTTAGTGTGTGTGTGTGTGTGTGTGTGTAGGTCAGAGAACGACTCGGAGGAGTCGGTTCTTGCCTTCCACCATGTGGATCTCAGGGATGAGACTCAAGTCGTCAGTCTTGGTAGCAAGCACTTTTTCCTACTGAGCCAGCTCAACCTGAAGTAAGCATTCAAATTTACACACACCACACCCGAATTCAAATAAAACGGCGGTAAATAGATGTTTGAATGTGAATGTCTGAATCCATGGGAAAGGCTATGTAGAAAAATAAGAAATGAGGTCAAATAACAAAGTGGTTGACACAGGGAGGGGCCAATTAGTGATTCAGGATGGTCATGAAGTCCTGGCCTCTCTAAGGAGATGTCATTAAAGCTACTAGCTAATAAAGACAAAAACCAGCCACAGAAAATCATGAGATTTCCAGAACCACAGTCCAAAGGCAGTGAGGTTGGGAAGTTTCTGTGAAGGAAAGTTCTGGGGAAAAAAAAAAAGCCCTTTCCACTGAATCTTCCACTAAAGGCTGATTAACTGGTCAGAACTTCAGTGAGTGAGGGGAGGTTGGAATGTTGCAGGTCCAGAGCCTAATTACTGTTTGTTTGTCTTAGGCTATCATTAGCCCTCTTCTTAGCCATTCCTTTCTCACCTCTGGGTCTAACCTAGCATCCTTGTGATTGTCCCATGAAACCTTTTGAGGTATTAGCTTAGCTCCAATCTTCCCCCAACCCCAAAGCTCAGAATGCCACCAGAAGGCATCTGAGGCCTACAGCAGAGGTGTCTCCACCCTGCTGTAACTGCCTACAGATACTTCCACCAATGTATTTTAAACGTGTCTTGATTTTTTTTTAATATTCTTTTTTTCTTTTCATGAAATCTCTACCACATTGGACCATGGGATTCAGATGACGTAAAGGGCCAGTTTATATTTTGACAACGTGGTGCTGATGTGGACCAAGATGGCAAATGCTGGACATGGGGGTGGGGTTTGCGGGGAGGGCACATGGAACCAGCACAAAATGGCTGACACTAGATGTCCTTGGAACTCAAAAGTAAACGATGATGTCATCTGTTATACAACCATTTATGGCTGAGTGCCACTGTTGTATGGGTTCTATATTAATACAGCCTGAGGGCAGAGGCCTGAGCCTTAACAAGTTGGCCTGTGTGTCTGTCTGTAGGCCTGTGAGTCCGTGTGTAGGCCTCTGTGCCAATCTGTGTGTGGCCTGTGGACCTCAATGTAAGCCTGGGTGCCTGCCGACAGCTGACCGCTTGCTCAACTGCCACCTGTGTTGTGGGATATTTTGATTGCACTCCTGAGACTGTCAGTAAAGTTTACCTTGAATCAGAGAACGGAGCTAGCTGCTAGCTGACTAGAATTAGCCATAGAGGTTTGGGGAGACATATAGAGAGAGACAGGAAGTAGTAGGGAGGGGCTTATATTCTCAGACCCTTTTGGAGGAAGGAGAGAGAGAGGAGGTCACTGGTCACTTCTCTGCCGCTTCTCTGATCAATCAGGTTTTGACCCCGATATCTGATTCATGAGTTTTATTTAATAATAGAACAATATAAGTTGTTATGCCTGTGTCATGAGCCCCCCAGAGATCACCAGGAGTCCGAGTTTGTATGTAAAAGCAAAGAGCCTTTATTGCAAGCTCAAGCTTGGCCTCTCTGTCTGTTCCGACACAGTGGTTGGATCAGGAAGAGCCCTGAGCTCAGTTGAGGCAGGGTTTTTAAGGAGTAAAGGATGGGGGTGGGGGTAGGGGAATTCCGGATTCAGATAGGAGTTGTTGATCTCCTGATTGGGCAGGAGTGAGGTAACAGAAGTCTTGTCAAACAGAGATTGGTACTGGCCTTGCTGCAAGGAAATTGGCAACCTATATACAAGTGATGTAAGATCTCCTTATTGTTCTAGAGCATCTAGTACTTGTAAATACTCAATTGTCTCAATTCTGATTGGTTCCCCGCAAGGTACAGTTTGTGGCTTTTCCTGATTATTGTAATGGTGAGGCCTAGTCCCAGTATTGTTAGTCTGCAGCCTGTCATGGCTGCACTAATGTGAAGTCAGGCCTCCTCATAAGTGACCGCTCCACACCTGTGTGCTGACAAATAAAGTGTCCCATCTGCCCTCCACTCTCCACAGCCTCTCTGACCTCCCAGCCTCCCGCCAACCCTCATCTTTTCCTGGCATCAGAGGATGGCTCGCACACCACAGTCACTCCTATTTGTCACCCTTGGAGGTGAAAATTGTTTTTGTGTTGACGTGGCATAGGGTGGCATCCCCCACTTCCATAACTGTGAGGAACAGTGACCCTCACTTCATAATAAGAGCACTGGAGACTTGGCGCGACAGTTTACAGCTCTGCAAGTCCGGGTGTGCTGACTGAATGCAGAGGTTTGAAACCCAAATGCAAGCAAGCTCCTTCTCCCCTTCCCCCATCCTATATCATCTGGGTGTTGCCTTTCCATCATCTTTTTCTAAACAAAAGCTGGGGGGGGGGGGGCATCTACATTTTACGTCCTGTTCATTTTAAACCTCGTCGGGCATGTGGCCTTGCAGGCAAGCTTGGCTGTGAGCACTTTTCTGTTCTAAACTTCTGGTTTGTGGGGATGGGTGGGTAGCAGGCATGGGCAGGGCTCTGGTCACTAGAATCTAATGTGTCTGCTTACTTGTAGTGAGACCAATGCTGTCTTGAGGCCCCTTTGAAAATGAAACCAGAAGGTTTTGTTTTTTTGTTTGTTTGTTTTTTGAGACAGGGTTTCTCTGTGTAGTTTTGCGCCTTTCCTAGAACTCACTCTGTAGCCCAGGCTGGCCTCGAACTCACAGAGATCCACCTGCCTCTGCCTCCCGAGTGCTGGGATTAAAGGCGTGCGCCACCACCGCCCAGCTAGTTGTTTCTTACAGTAATGCCTGACCTTTGTCCCGAGTGCCTCAGTGACATCTCACCTTGGCCTGGTGAGACCCCACTAGACACCTTCCATATCTCAACTCACAGCTCACTTACTCTTATCCTGGTTCTGAATCCGTCATGTCTCCCTGCTGTTCATCTCCCCCGCCCCCCCCCCCCCCCCCCCCCCCCCCCCCGGCATCCTGTACCACAACACATAACACAGTTGGAGACTTTCTATTGGCACAATTAGCCCGTGCTGCCTCCCTTCCCTTGGAGATGATTGGCTCTTAGATTGGAAGCTGGTGATGAGCCGGCACCAGAAGAGCCAATTACCAGATGCGTGGTGACTCTTTGGAGATGAGAAAACCCAAGAAGGAAGGCTTGGAAAACATGTCCCAAAACACATGACTGGTGATTTGCAAACCCAGGGTTCTGCTGGCGTTTTTTGTTTGTTTGTTTTTGGACTCTAAAGGATAGTGACTCAGTTAACCATTAAGTCACGCAGCCCACATCTAAGCCTGGTAGGAAACTGGATGGCTTTCTCTACCTTGTTTGTTTGTTTTTTTGTTTGTTTTCTGCTGTAGTGAAAATAGCAACAGGGTCGGGGAGCTGGAGAGGTGGCTCAGTGAGTAAAAAATACTTATGGCTCCTTCTGAGGACTCAGGTTCATTCCCAGAACCTATGTCCAGCTGCTTACACCTGCCTGTAACTCCAGCTCCAGGGGATCTGATGTCCTCTGACCTCCAGGGGCACCTACATGCACTCAGCTCACTTAAATGCACAGACATGTATAGAGACACATTAAAAATAACAACAACAGTAAGTTCCAATAAACTGATTGAAGACAGACAGGCTGACAGAAATGGACATTCCACACCCTCATTTACACACATCCACTTCTCTCATCAATTCTACTCCCAAGACTTTATTCTAAGAAAATCACATAAATAAACAGAAAGAACATTGAGGGGCATCAATATTAAAGAACATTAGCACCAGGTGGTAGTGGCACACGCCTTTAATCCCATCACTCGGGAGGCAGAACCAGGCGGATCTCTGTGAGTTTGAGGCCAGCCTGGTCTACAGAGTGAGTTCCAGAACAGGCACCAAAACTACACAGAGAAACCCCATCTCGAAAAACTTAAAACAAACAAACAAACAAACAAAAACACACACACAAACAAACAAACAAAAAACTAAGAACATTAGCAGTAATCCTCACAGAAGCACTACTGAGGGACTGAGTACTGGAATCACGTGATGTAATGTCACAACTGGGACATTTGTTAAATAAATCATGCCTGTTTCAAACAGAAGAAAGACCTAGAATGTCAGTTCTATGAGAACAGAGGCCAGATCTTGTTCATTCATTTTCAGCACTGGAAACTGGGACATGGCAGCTGTGCAGTGTTTAAGAATGCTGTGAGCGAAACAGTAGGAACTGCCTGAATATCCCCTTAAGAGAAGAAGATGTAATTCTGAGTCTGGAGAGATGGCTCCCTGTTTAAAAAGCACTGGCTGCTCTCCCAAAGGACCTGAGTTCGATTCCTGCCACCCACAGCCCTGGGAATCCCAATGACATCCTGTGACATGATGGAGATGGAGCACGTGAGTCTCTGGGCATCTCTTTGGTTTTCCTTATTCAACCACCAGGATTAAATCGTGGGGGCCCCACCTTAATGATCTTCATTGTCACCTCCTCCCCAAAGCCCACCTCAAAATAGCATAGAAGGTTCCACACACATAATACCTCACATAGGGATTAAACGTCAGCACAGGAAACCTTTGGGGTCAGGGGACACTCAAACCATATCACAGACCATAGTAACACACTGTGGTCTCCACTGTGAAAAAAATGATTAATCTTTTTCCAGAGAACTTGTC